GGAGGGGCCCCGGGGGGGAGGGGAAGGGCTGTGATTGGTCGGGAGGGCTCTGCGGGGGGTGGGGAGAATCCTCAGGATTGGGATGTCCTCAGAGAGTCTCTCTCCTCTTCCTGCAGCTCGCCGCTGACCCGGACCCCAACGTGAAGAGCGGATCCGAGCTGCTGGACCGCCTGCTGAAGGTGCGTGTAGTGGGAAGTGGCCCCCGTTCTGACAGCGTGCGGCGAGGGCCGATCACACAGGACACAATACAGAGAGAAGATCCCTCGGGAGCCAATGAGGGTCCTCCCTGCTGTATACAGCCCGGCCAGTGTGAGCGAGCTCTGGTGTCCGGAGCTTATCGTGTGGCCCCTCTGGCTCTCGGCTTCCTGCCTATTCTCACCTAGGCCCCTCCCCCCACACGGATACACCGCGTAGTCCTATAACGAGATGTCCGAAAAATGGGAACTTTCCAATACGGCCAACCGATCTTCAACGCGTTTCGCAGCGTCAGGAAGAGAAGGAAGTAGTCTCATTGAAGAGCGCACACTCCATGCAGACAAACAACACGGCCCCGCCACCGACCAGACGCCATAAGCGGAGTCACCCTATAACCGATGTTTCATACAAAGGTCCTCCACGCGTTCTGAGATCCTACGTGACAAGAGGCGGGGCTTCTCCTATCCGGCTCCTCCCCACGCAGACCGACAACAGCGACCCTTCCCGGGGACGATGCGAAACGCGTTGAAGATCGGTTGGGCCGTATTGGAAAGTTCCCATTTTTTTGGGACATCTTGTTCTAGGAGCGCGCTGCATATCCGCGTGTGGGGGGCGGGGCCTAGGAGGCTGTAGGATGATGTCATATACACGCAGTATTGGGGAGCATCCATAAAACACCAGCGGGGGGGGTCGGTCTCGGGGCATTGGGAGGTTTTCGCTTTGTTCCTCTAGGGCCCCCAGGTTTATGTGGTGCTGCCATTACTGTGAGTTTTGGGGTGTGGCCCCTATGGACTGAGGGGCCACCCACGGAGGGTGACGTGAAAGCTGAACTCCGGACTGAAAATTCCTACATGGGAGAGATCGTCCATCCAGTCTTCAGATGTACACAGCTCTGCCGCTCTCTGGGGGGACGCAGCCTATAGACGGACGGGCTGTGGAATGGAAGCCGATCGTTTCCGGGTAACAAAGTTCCTTCTGTAGAAGATTTGTGTTCCTCGGGGGCGGAGTTCCACTTTCAGGGGGCGGGGCCAGGGGGTAAGATGGCTGCCGCTGTGGGGTCACTGACTCGGGTTGTCGTTTCAGGACATTGTGACGGAAAGTAACAAGTTCGATTTGGTGAGTTTCGTTCCTCTGCTGCGGGAGAGAATCTATTCCAACAACCAATACGCTCGTCAGTTCATCATCTCCTGGGTGAGTGTTCATCCCCGGCTCCTCCCCCAACTCCGGGGGGGCCCCCACTCCTCTACTGTACCTGATGGTTATAAGGGCCCGAGGGGCACAGGGGGGCCCTGGAGTCGGAGAGGGTGTATGGAGGAACCTCCAGATAGTTCTGAGCGTTGTGGGGTCCTGGGAGGTCCTATGGAATGGTGGGGCTGTAGGGGGGTCCTGGGAGGCCCTATGGAATGGTGAGGTCCTATGGAATGGTGAGGTCCTATGGAATGGTGAGGTCCTATGGAATGGTGAGGTCCTATGGAATGGTGAGGTCCTATGGAATGGTGAGGTCCTATGGAATGGTGAGGTCCTATGGAATGGTGAGGTCCTATGGAATGGTGAGGTCCTATGGAATGGTGAGGTCCTATGGAATGGTGAGGTCCTATGGAATGGTGAGGTCCTATGGAATGGTGAGGTCCTATGGAATGGTGAGGTCCTATGGAATGGTGAGGTCCTATGGAATGGTGAGGTCCTATGGAATGGTGAGGTCCTATGGAATGGTGAGGTCCTATGGAATGGTGAGGTCCTATGGAATGGTGAGGTCCTATGGAATGGTGAGGTCCTATGGAATGGTGAGGTCCTATGGAATGGTGAGGTCCTATGGAATGGTGAGGTCCTATGGAATGGTGAGGTCCTATGGAATGGTGAGGTCCTATGGAATGGTGAGGTCCTATGGAATGGTGAGGTCCTATGGAATGGTGAGGTCCTATGGAATGGTGAGGTCCTATGGAATGGTGAGGTCCTATGGAATGGTGAGGTCCTATGGAATGGTGAGGTCCTATGGAATGGTGAGGTCCTATGGAATGGTGAGGTCCTATGGAATGGTGAGGTCCTATGGAATGGTGAGGTCCTATGGAATGGTGAGGTCCTATGGAATGGTGAGGTCCTATGGAATGGTGAGGTCCTATGGAATGGTGAGGTCCTATGGAATGGTGAGGTCCTATGGAATGGTGAGGTCCTATGGAATGGTGAGGTCCTATGGAATGGTGAGGTCCTATGGAATGGTGAGGTCCTATGGAATGGTGAGGTCCTATGGAATGGTGAGGTCCTATGGAATGGTGAGGTCCTATGGAATGGTGAGGTCCTATGGAATGGTGAGGTCCTATGGAATGGTGAGGTCCTATGGAATGGTGAGGTCCTATGGAATGGTGAGGTCCTATGGAATGGTGAGGTCCTATGGAATGGTGAGGTCCTATGGAATGGTGAGGTCCTATGGAATGGTGAGGTCCTATGGAATGGTGAGGTCCTATGGAATGGTGAGGTCCTATGGAATGGTGAGGTCCTATGGAATGGTGAGGTCCTATGGAATGGTGAGGTCCTATGGAATGGTGAGGTCCTATGGAATGGTGAGGTCCTATGGAATGGTGAGGTCCTATGGAATGGTGAGGTCCTATGGAATGGTGAGGTCCTATGGAATGGTGAGGTCCTATGGAATGGTGAGGTCCTATGGAATGGTGAGGTCCTATGGAATGGTGAGGTCCTATGGAATGGTGAGGTCCTATGGAATGGTGAGGTCCTATGGAATGGTGAGGTCCTATGGAATGGTGAGGTCCTATGGAATGGTGAGGTCCTATGGAATGGTGAGGTCCTATGGAATGGTGAGGTCCTATGGAATGGTGAGGTCCTATGGAATGGTGAGGTCCTATGGAATGGTGAGGTCCTATGGAATGGTGAGGTCCTATGGAATGGTGGGGCTGTAGTGGGGTCCTGGGAGGTCCTATGGTGTGGTGGGGCTGTAGGGGGGTCCTGGGAGGTCCTATGGAATGGTGGGGTCCTGGGAGGTCCTATGGAATGGTGAGGTCCTATGGGG